AATTTCCCTATAACAAGATTAGTGAGAATGCGAAATAAAAGCGGAAAAATAATACCCGAAATTGATAACGGAATTCAACCAATTAGGCCTACGTCTTCGGACTGTTGCAGATCTTTTACTAAGAGAGAAAATTTACAGGTGTTTACAAAACACTCACTACTCACAAGAAAACTCTCTAGTATTGGGAAAAAGAAATGATTTGGGATGATTTTGAACCTAAATGAGTTAGGGTATTTATAGTTGAAGCTTAGGGACTAATCTTTGAAAATACCCTAAAGTGCAATGACTAAATGTGTTATTTACCCATTACCATTTTCAACAAATGCTGCACCATTCGGTGCCTAATTTTTTTCCAGCAATATCATGCTGGTTGGCACCGCTTGTTGACTTTTTAACAATCTTCCACTTGAAGACTGATTTTAATCTGTTTTCACACCTCGATCAATGCATCAACTTTTCTAGTCTTGTTATTCTAGCATGCCAACTGAAGTTGAACACAACTTCAGTTTTTCAGTGGCCACCGTCTTTGTCAACATGTCTGTCGGATTTTGAGCTCCACAGAAGAGACCGGATAAAATGATATTGTAATTGTATGTGCTTCGTCCTGGAATGAAAAGACGGATTCTTTGCTAGATGGATAACATTTTGACTGTCGCAATACAAGACATTATTTTCTTGTTTCTTGCCTAACTATTCCAAGAAACTTTGGAGCCAAACCATCTCCTTGCTGGCTTCCGTAACAGCGACATATTCTGCTTCAGTTGTGGAGAGAACAACTATCTTCTGTAGTTGAGAAACCCAACTCACTGCAGTTACTCCTAGAGTATAGACATACCCTGTAGCGCTCATTCTGATGTCAACATTTCCGGCTAAGTCAATATCTACATAGCTTGTCAGTATCGTATCTTCACCTTTGAAACAAAGTGCTTTGTTTGTAGTACCCCGCAGATATCTGAGGATCAATTTGACAGCTTCCCAGTGTACCTTGCCTGGATTATTCATGTACCTGTTAACAGCTCCCACTGCATGAGCAATATCTGGTCTGATACAAACCATGACATACATCAGACTTCCAATTGTTGAGGCATACAACACCTTCACCATGTGTGCACGTTCTTCCTTCGTCTTTGGTGACTGTTCTTTGGAGAGTCTAAAATGAACACCTAAAGGTGTACTTACTAGTTTAGCATCTTGCATGTTGAACCTGGAGAGTACTTTGTTGATGTACTCAGCCTGTGATAACATCAAAGTCCCCGACTTTGTGTCTCTCTTAATCCTCATCCCAAGAATCTGTTTTGCAGCGCCCATATCTTTCATTGCAAACTGCTTTGACAATTTTTTCTTCAAGTTTATAATCTCTTGCATGTCTGAACCTGCAACAAGCATGTCATCAACATACAACAATAAAATAATGAAGCTATTGTCAAACTTCTTGATGTAGCAACAATGATCTGCTTGGCATCTGGTAAAACCACTGCTACTCATGAAACTATCGAACTTCTTGTACCACTGTCTAGGAGCTTGTTTTAAACCATACAAGCTCTTCTTCAACCTGTATACCAGGTTTTTCTTGCATATCTATGAAGCTTTCTGGCTGTCTCATATAGATTTCTTCTTCCAAATCACCATGAAGGAAAGCTGTCTTTACATCTAACTGTTCAAGATGCAAATTCTCTGCAGCTACAATTTTCAACACCAGTCTGATTGTAGACAGTTTCACGACTGGAGAGAAAATTTCATTATAGTTAATACCTTCTTTTTGCTGAAAACCTTTGACAACCAATCTTGTTTTGTAGCGTTTGCTCCCATTGTGCTCTTCTTTGATCCTGTAAATCCACTTGTTGTGGAGCGCTTTCTTGCCTGATGGTAATTCAACTAATTCACACGTCTGATTTGACATAAGCGAGTCCATCTCATCTTTCATGGAAGACTCCCACTTGACTAAATCCTCCACATGCATTGCTTTATCATAGCACTCTGGTTCACCATTATCAGTCAATAACAAGTAGTACAAAGAAGGCGAATAACGCTGGGTTGGTTTAGGAATTATGGAGGAGCGTCTCAATTCTGGTGTGTCTGGTTCTTCTTGAACTGCTTCAGGAGTGATCTGAACATCATTTCCAGAAATCTCCTCAAACTCAACAAATTCCTTTGTTTCAGATTCGGTGTTGGAGCTACTTGATTCCATGGTTGACCTATCTTTGTACATCACATTCTCATTGAAAATGACATCTCTGCTTATGATGATCTTTCGATTTTCATAGTCCCAAAACCGGTAACTGAACTCATCACTACCATAACCAACAAAGACACATTTGTTAGACTTGGTTTCAAGTTTACTTCTTTCAGTAGAATTTATGTGTACATAAGAAATACAACCAAACACTCTTAAGTGTGATAGGTTTATTTTTTTCTTGCTCCAAACTTCTTCTCGTATTCCACCATCCAAGGGAACTGAGGGCCCACAGTTGATTAGGTAAGCTGCACTGTTGATAGCTTCAACCCATAGAAATTTGGGTAATCCGACATGTATCCTCATGCTTCTGGCACGTTCATTCAGAGTTCTGTTCATACGCTCTGCTACGCCATTCTCCTGCGGTGTCATGGGAACTATTGTCTCTATCTTGATCCTATTGTTTGCGCAGAAATCTCCGAATCTACTGTTTCTGTACTCTCTTCCATTGTCAGACCTCAGCCGCTTAACTTTCAAACCAGTCTCATTTTCCACCATGGCCTTCCATTTTCTGAAGGTATCAAAGACTTCTGATTTCTTCTTCAGAAAATAAACCCATACATTTCTTTTAGAATCATCGATGAATGTGACATAATTTAGTGAGCTTACAAAAGATGGAACTAGAAATGGTCCCCATACATCAGTATGAACCAACTCTAACTTTTCTGCATTGGGTGTCTTGTCAATCTTTTCAAAACTGACTTTCTTTTGTTTACCAAAGATGCAATCCTCGCATAGTCCGACATCTACATTCTTTATATCCGTCAGCTTCCCTTTTGACAAAAGTGTCTTCATCCCTTTCTCGCTCATATGACCAAGCCTTTGGTGCCATATATTTGATTTTCCATAATCATCTGCTACTATAATGATATTCTCTAAGTTTGAGGTTACATAGAGAGTATCAGTCTTCTTACCACGAGCAATGACGAGTGCTCATTTGGTAATCTTTTATTCACAACCTGAAAAGGTTGTACTATATCATTCTTCATCAAGTTGTCCTACAGAAATCAAATTTCTTTTGAGACTAAAAATATGTCTCATACCTTTCAGCGTCCAAGTGGTCTGGTTTGGTAGCTTTAATCGGATGTCTCCTTTTCCGACGATCTTCAAAGTTTCATCATCAGCTAGATGAACCTTCCCAAAATCACCATTGACATAGTTCTCCATGATTTCTTGGCATGGGGTGGAGTGGAAAGATGCCCCTGAATCCAAGATTCATGATTCAATCGGACTGTTGACACTTAGAATCATGACATCACTTGTCTCCTCTGTCATGTTGACAGATTCCTGTGCGCTGGTATATTTCTTCAGTGCTCGGCAATCTCTTTTAAAGTGACCCTTCTTGCCACAATTATAACAGGTAAAATCTTTCTTTCCCGTTCTTGATTTTCCCCTTCTAGATTTCGATCTGCCACGATTTGAATTTTTTTCTGAAGTTCTCTCTCTGGACTCCGTGTGCAAGGTCGATGAGCTTGATGCTTCACCCGATTCTCTCCGTCGAATTTCTTCACTCAATACCAGATCCCGAACATCGTCGAATTTTAATTTGTTGTTTCCCGACGAGCTACTAACTGCTGTATCAGTAGCATTCCAACTGTCTGGTACAGATGATAAGAGAATTAAAGCTCGAACTTCATCTTCGAATTCAATTTCCATGAAACTCAACTGGGTGTTGATTGTGTTGAGTTCATTTAGGTGTTGAGCCACTGATGCCCCTTCCGTCATCCGTAAATTGAATAATTACCTCATCAAGTGAACTTTGTTTGAGGTCGATGGCTTCTCATAAATACTGGAGAGAGTCGTCGTAAGACCCGCCGTTGTCTTTTCCTTTGCTATGTTGAAAGCAACATTTTGGGACAACATCGGTCGGATAACTCCGAGAGCTTGTCTGTCGAGAAGAGCTCAGTCTTTATTCTTCATGCCCTATAGTTACTTTCCTGAGAGATGTTGATATAGATTTTTCTGGTACATAAAATCTTCAATCTGCATCTTCCAAAAGTCAAAGTCTGCACCATCGAACTTTTCAATTTTCACATTCCCTTCGTCTGTAGCAATCGCTCCCACTCGAATCTGGCTTCGTTTGGATCGTTTCTGATAATTCTTGCGAACCACTGTGTATTAGAACACATCTGTCGATAAATTCGTATCGTCGATAAAATTTTTACTATTCACAAAATTTACTATTCATGTGAATAGTAATGAATAGTAACCTCACAAAAAATTGATAAAATTCATAACCAAAAGCTCTGATACCAGTTGTTGGGAAATAAACGAAAACAAGTAATTTTCCTATAATCAGATTAGTGAGAATGTGAAATAAAAGAGGAAAAATAATACCCAAAATTGATAACGGAGTTCAGCCAATTATGCCTACGTCTCCGGACTGCTGCTGATCTTTTACTAAGAGAAAATTTACAGGTGTTTATAAAACACTCACTACTCACAAGAAAGCTCTCTAGTACTAGGAGAAAGAAATGATTTGGGATGATTTTGAAGCTAAATAAGTTAGGGTATTTATAGTTGAAACTTAAGGACTAATCTTATAAATACCCTAAAGTCAGTGACTAATTGTAATTTTTCCTCTTACCTTTTTTTTTCAACAAAAAACTGCTTGAATTCGGTGCAATTATCAGACAAAAAAAAAGCTTGAATTCGGTGCAATTAAATGCACCACTTTCACACCGAAAGTTTCCCATTGACTTTTCCAACAACAACTAGAACGATTGGAGAGCCCTCATACATGTGAAGTTCCCTAAAAGTGCAATAGCAATAAGTATTTCCCTAACCCTGTTGGCTGGTGAAAAACCATATAAAGATAGGGGAAGCCAAAAAGAAGATTACTAAATGACGGTGTTGAATCAAAAAGTTCTTCGATAGGTGAAAAACCATCTGATGATAAGAGAGCAAAGCTGAAAAGAAGATTACTAGAAGACAATGTTGAATCAGAAAGTCTGTCGACCAGTGAAAAACCATCTGAATATGAGAGAGATAAGTCGAAAAGAAAATTACTAGAAGGTAGTGTTAGATCAGAAAGTTTGTCCGCGGTTGAAAAACCATATGATGATGAGGGAGAGAAGCGAAAAGAAGTTTACTAGAAGAATGTGTTAAATCAGAAAGTCTTTAGGCCAGTGAAAAACCATCTAATGATGGGAGAGAGAAGCTGAAAAGAAGATTACTAGAGGACGATGTTTAATCAAAAATTCCATTGGTCGGTAAAAAACCATATGATGATGAGGGGGAGCAGTCGTAAAGAAGATTATGAGAAGACTGTGTTAAACCAAAACGTCTGTCGGCCAGTGAAAAACCATATGATGATGAGGGAGAAAAGCTGAAAAGAAGATTACTAGAAGATAAGGGGAGAAGCAAAAAAAAAAGATTACTAGAAGACGATGTTGAATTAGAAAGTTTGTCTGCCAATGAAAAACATCTGATGATGAGGGAGATAAACCGAAAAAAAGATTGCTAGAAGATAATGTTGAATCCGAAAGTCCGCCTAGCGGTGAAAAACCATATGATGAAGAGGGAGAAAAGCCCAAAATAAGATTGTTGGGAGATGACTTTGAAGCAAAAACTCCTGATATTGAGGAAAAGAGCACGTTTGTTGGTGAAAAACCACCTAATGTTGAGGGTGAGAAGCCGATTAGAAGATTACTAGAAGACGATGTTGAATCAGAAAGTTTGTCCGCTAGTCAAAAACCATATGATGATAAGGGAGAGAAGCCTAAAAGAATATTATTATAAGATGATGTTGAATTAGAAAGTTAATCTGCCTGTGAAAAACCATCTGATGATGATGTTGAATTAGATATTTGTCCACCGGTGAAAAATCATCTCATGATGAGAGAGATAAGCTAAAAAGAAGATTACTGAGAGACGACGTTGAAACAAAAAGTTATGACGTTAAGGTAGGAAGTTCATCCGCTGATGAAAAACAATTTGATAATGAGGGAGAGAAACCGAAAAGATTACTAGAAGACGATGTTGAATCAGAAAGTTCGTCCGCCCATGAAAAATCATCTGATGATGAGGGAATGAAGATGAAAAGAAGATTATTGAGAGACGACGTTGAAGCAAAAGGTTCGTTCATTGGTGAAGAACTACTTGATGTTGAGGGAGAAAAGTCGGGACGAAGATTATTAGAAGATGATGTTGAATTAAAAAGTCCATTCGCCGGTGAAAAACCATAAAGAAGATTAGTTTTAAAAACTATTAAATTAAATTTATAAAATCTTGAATTTAAAATATAATTTTCAAAATTATAATCACTTGAATCATTAAAATTTAAATTCATCAAATTAGAATTAAAGCGATTGTATTTAATATCCAAGGCAATGTAAAATGGCTTGTATTTTCTGTAAAATGTATTATTATCAATTATTTGTTTAGTTATAAATAAATTATTTTTTCTAAAAATTATAATTTAGTTACTCAATTAAAAATTTATTACAAATATGTCATTAGTCGTTAAATGACGTAGTAGTGACATGGCCTGGTATAAAAACAATTTTAATATCAAAACTTATACACTCTATTAATTTGAAATAATTCAATAAATTAAACCCTTCATATTTTAAAAATATATATCAATTTAGTCCTTTCTCTTTTTCTAAGTTGTTTATTCTTCTGCAGAGATATTATATTATTTTCATGTTATTTTTCTAGTATAATAACAATTTAACAGTAATTTATTGTTGCTTTATAGTAGAATGTTGTTATCTAATTGTTTCTTTGATCTGATAGACTCACTTGGTTTGATAGTATCACATAAAGGATTAGATTGATAGAATATTTAAATACGAAAGATTAAATTTATTGAATTATGATCAATTTGATATAATTTATATGTTTTAGAGACTAAAAAATACTATTATATCAGACCACATTAAACGTATGTTTTAATTTTAATGACATGATAACATGTTTGTACCATTATTTTAATTGAGTGATTATATTGTAACATTTTAAAAAACTGATCCATTTATAATCAAACTAATAATGGAGTGATTATATTACTTTTATTTTTTTTAAATAACTCAAATTTAAACTTTACTTAATTATTGAATGTCACATTTATCACAACTAAAAAATATAGTATTAATATCAACTATAAATTAATATAACAGAATTATATGTTAGATTTTTTTAAGTAAGATCATGATTGGAATACTAATGTTGTGAATGAAACAAATTGAATTGGAAGCGTATTCTATCTTAATTATTTGACCTATGAATTTGATAACGTAATATTAATGGTAAAAAAATTCAATAGGAATTTAATTATTGTAAATGTCCAAATTTCAATCTCACTGTGCCTAGATATTTAAGGGTAATTTGACCTGGGGTTATGGCCTTTAAAATCTCAATTTGTGGCACAGGCGTGTCCTACGGATTATCAAAGAAGCAAGTTTCAAAATAGAAGGGGAAATGTAGAGTTGCATACATGTGTGATCAAGACATGGCTTCAACGCCTTTCATCCATTATAAGAGGGAACCAGCTGAACCAATTTCCTTGCACCGCAAGAAACACCAATGATCTTAAAGATGTCTAAAGCTTGCTTGCACTTGTTTCTCCTCGGAATGGTGATTGTTTTCGCCACCATTCCCTCTTTAGCTGACGGATCCCGTGCCGATGAACCACCGACTCCATTTTTAAGTGAGAAAGCATTGAAACAAAATCCGATCCAGCTGCATGATCATACTATGAGGCACCTTCTACAAGGGGAAGTCGAAGTAGAGAGTTATTTCGCTGGTGAAAAACAATCTGATGATGAAAGGGAGAAGCCGGGAAGATTATTGGGAGACGACGTTGAAGAAGAGAGTCCAATTGCTGGTGAAAAATCATCGGATGATGAGGGAGAGAAGCCGGGAAGACTAATAGGAGACGACGTTGAGGAAAAGAGTCTGCTCATTGTTGAGAAACCGCGAGAAGATAAGCTAAAGAAACTGGGAGAGATGGTAAGAAGTCTATTGGCGAATCCACCATCGACGAGTCCATTTGCCCATATGATAAAACCCTCCAAAGGTAGGGTATTCAAACCATCGGAGCTACGGAAGGACGGCGACAGACCGTCAGAGTCATTCTACGTCCAGAAACAACAGGAACGAGTACCGCTAATCATGCGGCATCGGAAGGTTCCTCCCCGAAGCCTTCTAGGGCTACTCAAACCACATAAGCAACCAAATTTTGAAGATGTTATGAGACGAGAAGGCAAGCCACCACATGAGCACAAACCAGGCTATGAACATCAACCATAATCATCTTTCTTCAACAAGTCTCTGCAATGGCACATAAGTGCCAAAATTTAGAAGATCATCACCAAAATACCGATAGTTTAGCGTACAAAATAAGAGCTGATGTTGATCAGTCTCCAACTTAGCTAGTATCAATCATATTCAAGTTGGCCCATGTCATGCATGATGTTTTTTCTAGACATGGAGGCCATTAGCATGGATTTATGCAGATCATGTAATATGTATGTTAAAGTTGAGATGTAAGAACCTATTCAATTATCCCTAAATATTATTTGAAAATTATGTATTCAATTATCCCAATGACGTTAAGTGTACACAGATCATGATACAAAACAATGTTTAGTGTTGGTATTATTCCCTATATTCTTTTGTAATTTATCTTCCATCTTTGTCCATGTGATAAAATGAAAAAGGTGGTGAGATATATGCAAAGCAACCACAATCAAAGGTGATACATTACTATTTTCTTTAGTATCTTGAACACTATGAAATATATATGCATATGCTTTTTAATAATAAAATTGTATAATGTTGAAAAAAATATTTCTATCGTTTAATTGAAATATTATTTTAGTTTTTTTTTGAATATTTTGACACCAAACATTTTGCTTTTAGGCAAAATAATCTCTAAATAAATGAAAAAGGTTAGTTGACTAACGATCAACGCTTGATGTTGAAGTGAAAATGTCACGTCACCACTTTCAACATGCGACATGTGTCATATCAATACTTTTGATACATTGTATGTAGGGGTGAGCATTCTATCGGGTTGAGTTAAAAAATTTGAGTTATTTGAGTCTACGAGTCATATTTTATGACTTAACTTGAAATTTTTTCAAGTTGAGTTTAAGAAATTCGAGCTGAGTTGTTCGAGTTTCTATTCTATTATAATTTGATTATAATTATCTATAGTATTATAGTATGAATTTGTTCTAATTTTTCGACTTTCTCTAACAATATATATATTACATTATAATGTAATTTAATATATTAAATATAATCAAGACTTATAAAATATATTTACAATATTTTATTTTAAAAAAGATATTTTGAGGATAAAAGATAGATGAGACTATAGAGGAGTCAAAGAATTGATGTAAGAAAGAATTTGCATACAATTGTAGTCAAAAGACTAAGTTGAGTAAAATGCAAAGTTAAAGGAATAAATGGAAAAAAGAGTACATTTTTAATAAAAAAAAATAAGAATTTAAATTTACATAGGTATTCTATAGTGGTAGGGAGTATATGGTTTAAATTTGATAAAAAACATACTTAAAATAAATGATGAATGAAGAAATACGGAAATCATGCAAAATTGAGGGACTAAATTAAAAAAATAAAAAATTTATCATAAAAAAGTAGAATTGAAAGTACATATATATTCTATGATGGTTTAAGAGCATGTGATTCAAATTTGGAACAGGATTTTCGTGATACTTTTAGTCCCGTTGTTAAGCATTCAACAGTAAATGTTATTTTGTCGTTGGCCGTGACTAATGGGTGGAACCTTCGACAAGTGGATGTTAATA